AWKWSGACGCTAATTCGATGCAATTTAGCGTCGAATTAGCGTCGATCATTTTTTGTCTCAATTTTGCGTCGATTTAGCGTCGAATTTTTTGAACGACACAAAAACGATGTAAAAGCGTCGCAAATTTTGTGTCGACGCAAAATCGACGCTAAATTTCGACGCTAAAACTGTTTTTTCTTGTAGTGTAGGTTATTCCTCTGTTACTATCATTGTGTGAAAGGCAGCAAAGAAGTCACTACATCGTAGATGAATCATTCGACAGCAAATTTGAGAGAATTCATGAGTTCTTGGAAGAGAACATTAAGAAAGTTCGAACGAAAATAGAGAAAACAGGATTATCTCAAATTGATGAGGATGAGTTTGCTGGTGTTTTGGGATCTGTCAACTGTTTTCCCTATTTTAAASTGGATTCATCGTTACTGATTTCCTTTAAGAATACTCTCAAACAGCATTTGGCAGCTTCAGTTGGTAAGTTTTTTTGCAATGCCATTCAAAATTTTCATTCTCTTTTGCATTGAGTTTCCTTCACTGGACTGCTCTTCTTGATCATGATCTTGTTTTTTCAGGAAACACTTTTAGTGCTCCAGAATTTATGTGGCAGAGCTTACTTGGTGCTACTTTAAGGTCATGTCACAAATTCTGTTCTAGTGGAAGACTCATTCACAGCGATCTAGAAGAAGCTTTGTCACTTGCTAAATGTTACAAGTCATGTGTACAAGTTCTGTCTCCTGTGGCTGACTACTTGGATTTTGTGTATAGGTGAGTTATGTATGTTCTAGTGGATTTATTCAGTTATATTTCTCCATGTTTGATGATTCTGTGATGGTACACTGATTCGCTTTTTAATCGCAGGCCTTTGTTAGATAACAGTGATAGCTCTAAGGTATGTTCAGAAGAACTTCAAGCAAATAATGCTGAAGTTGCATTTGACATATTTTCTGAAAATTTACGTCACTCGAACAAAGAGATCCGTCTTATGACTTTAAGGATTGTATGCCATTTTGAAACTTTGTCTCCTAATCCTTGTTCTGAAGAGCATCCTCCAAAGAAGAAACAGAAAACACAAGTGATTCAAAAGTCTTTCCCTGAAAGAAATGTGAGTATATTGTTTTACTAACTATAAGAACTTTTCCTCTGCACTGTATCATGTTTCATAAACTAATGATGTTTCTTTGAAATGACCAGGTTCTTGAGTTGTTGCACACAGTTGAAAAGTCCCCTATTACAGTATCCACTGAAACAGAGTTGGTCAGTTTGATTACTAGAATACAAATGGATCTCTCTGCTTGCAGGGTACATGAGGCATACGTGCCTCTTGTATTCAACGGAATGATAGGAATATTTCATAACCGATATTCCAAAATATGCGACCGAGCATCTGAGTGCCTAGCCGTTCTTATGAATAAGGACACTGGAGCCGTGTGGAGTGGTTTTGTTCGTTATTTGGGCCATTGCCAAGTAAAGCTTGAAGCACAACACAATCTTAGTGAGAGTGAAATCTATAGCATCTCAGAGAAGTCTACTGGTAGATCTGATAACACACCTACTACAACAGTAGTATCTCTGATGCTCCAGACCTTACAAAAACTTCCCACTGTTGTTCAGTCTCGAGTTTCCGAGATTCTTCCTTTGTTTCAGGCATTTCTTGGATACAATAGCGAAAATCCCCTGAGGTAATCATATCTCTGTCTCTTGTTTCTCAAAGAGTAGTTTGAAATCAGCTCTTGTCATCAAGTTTTTTCTATTTACATTGTTCCAGGGTTGGATTATTTAATGGCGGAGCTTGTAAAGGAGAAGAGTGGAAGAAGTTACTTATACTATGGTTGAATTTGCTGAAGTTGATGAAGAATCTGAGATCGTCTGGTCTTAGTCTATTTGTCAATGATGTTCTGCGGAATAGGTTGGCCCCAAACTACTTGATTTGAAGTAAAAATCTTCATTTCATTGACCTCTCATGATGTGTGGTATGCATAATATTCCAGGTTTCTTGACGATAATGATGCGGAAATACAAACGAATGTCCTACAATGCCTTCTGTTGTGGAATGACTACTTACTCCCACACCGCTCGCATTTAGAGAATTTGATCAAACCCAAAGAATTGAGAGAAGAGCTCACGACATGGAACTTGTCGAAAGACATTGAAGAAGCTCAAAGACCTCAGATTGCTTCTCTTGTAATACGCATTATGATGCCAAAGTTTAGGAATTTAAAGATTCCGCTTCGCGTAAGGTACATAATACCATACTTCTTTTTCAGTTTACTTCACCGTGCCAATGCGGTTTTTCAGTTAGGTCCTAACAGTTTTCTTTTTGTTTTCCTTGTCAGCATACAAGTATTCGTCACCGGAAGGCGGTTCTTTGCTTTATATCTCAGCTTGATGTTAATGAACTCTCCATGTTCTTTGCTTTGTTGATGAAACCTTTTAACATCATATCAGAGGAAGCAATGGACTTGTTCTGTTGTAGCTCAGGAAAAACCTCGATCTCTGGATTGTTTCCAAATGTCGAATCTCCTGAAATACTTCACCGTTGATACTATTTCGACGTTATCCAGGAAGCAGAAATGCCGGTTTCTTCATGTCATCCAACACATCCTCGAGGTGACCAGGTGAACATGGCTCTCTTTCCTTAAAGTTCATAAGTTTTTTCGCTATTTCATTTCTTTCGAAATCTCATTTTGATCGACATTTTGTTTAGTTCTTTAAAGCAGTTTAAGGAGTTGAGATCCTTATGTCTGAAGATTATCGCTCATGTTCTTGCTAAGTACGAGGATTGTGTTGTTAGTTCGGAGTTTTGGGACCTCTTCTTTTCAGCAGTGAACCCGTTAATCAAGAGTTTTAAGCAGGAGGGTTCTAGTAGTGAGAAACGAAGCTCATTGTTCTCATGCTTCTTGACAATGAGCAAAAGCCGCGATCTCGTGACCTTGCTATGTCGGGAAGAATCTCTTATTCCAGACATTTTCTCAATTCTAACAGTCGTCACAGCTTCAGAAGACATAAAATCTTGTGCCTTGAAGTTCATAGAGAATCTTCTCATTCTTAACAATGAGTTGGACGAGGATTATGAGAGTATGATCAAAGGGTTTTTAGATCCATATATAGAGCCACTGATTAAAAGCTTGCATTCTCTTTTCCTTGGTGATATTTTGAAATGGTAAGGATTCTTGTCGATTATCCGACTTAGTTATTTTTGTGTCTTGTTTCTGTTTTCTTTAATGGAAAAACTGTGAAATTTTATGAGCAGGAAATCAGCCAAGTATAAAGGAGAAAGAGTGATTAAGATTCTTAAACTATTGTCAAAGCACGTCATCCGAAATGAATCTTGTGTTGTGAAATATTTGGATATCTTGCTGTCTTTCTTGGATACAAGTGTGAAAGATTCTGGTATGTATAGTTACTCAGTTCTTTTCTTGGTTTAGATTGTATAATCTTACGTCTCTTGCGCGTGCGACAACTGGTCTTTTTCTTTTCTTGCAGGTATTCATCGCGAGGCTTTGCTAGCAATTCAGGACATCACATCATTACTTGGGACTGAGAGTACCAGCAAAATTATAAATACAATCTCTCCTCTGCTTGTTGAAGCTAAACTTGACGTTAGACTATGCATTTGTGACCTTCTTCGATCTCTTACAAAAATCGACTTTTCTCTTGATCTGGTGGTAAGTATATATACACATTTCTTTTTGAAGCTTTAGTCATTACCTTGTCCTTTTGTTTATGCATTTGCAATTGTACAGGCAAAATGCTCTGAAAACAGTGAAGTGGATTTCTTTAAAAACATTTTTAGCATTCGGGTAAATCAGAGTCTAATAGTTCATAATAAACCACACTGGAACCATTGCCACACCTTACAATGGTCTGTTTCTTTTGAATGTCTTGTAGACACACCGTAGAGCAAAGGCGATTACAGGTTTTGCAAAGGTGATCAAAGATAACAGTCTGCCTGAGGTAATTTTTTTGAGTCTCTTAGAATTTTTAATTACGATTTCTTTTGTACTTCATAGACTTATTATAACCTATTTCTGATTGGTGCTGCAGGGAGTAGTGAGAAACTTTTTGGTCTCAGTCTTTTTCAAAATATTGTTTGATGAACAAGAAGCAGAAAATAAAAACGTCCAAGATGCATGCAAAGAAGCCATTGCTTCTGTATATGCTCATATGAGTTGGAACTCGTACTATGCTCTATTGAATCGGTGTTTCCGTGAGATGGACAATAAGCATACCACCACTAAGAGAAAACTTGTGCTGCAGCTTATTGGCTTGATTTTAAATAAATTTCATTTTTGGAAAGATGGTTACACAGAGGAGATTAGGACTTGCATTGAGGAAAGCGTTTTCCTGAAGATACAGAAGCTGATGGATTCTGACTCTGATAGTGTTAGGATTGACAGATACGTTGCTGCGGTGAAGGCTCTAAAGCTTCTCCCCAAGGAAATAATGGAGCCACATCTAGACTCTATATTTCTTAAGATTTGCAGTTATTTGAAGAGCAAGGAGAAGGGTACATGCGATGAAGCAATAAAGGCTCTGGCTTCTTGTTTGAAGGAACTTGGGCTTGAGTATTTGCAAATTGTCGTTAAAAATCTACGCGCTAGATTAAAAAGAGGATCTGAGTTACATGTGCTGGGGTACACTGTCAAATTTATCTTATCCAAGTGCCTGTCTAGTAAAGATAATTGTAGAACTTGATTTTCTCTTATTCATCAGAGT